CTATGGCATGGAAATGAATGTGGAAAAAACAAAAGTAATGAAAATTTCGAGACAACCAACCCGTCACCATAAAGATACACCAAAAACAACTGGAGTATGTGAAATGTTTTAAATATTTGGGTAGCTTGTTAACAGATGATGGAAGGTGTACTTGTGAAATTAAAGCTAGGATTGCCATGGAAAAAGCTGCATTTAGCAAGAAGAAGAATCTTTTTACCAGCAAACTGGACTTAAATTTGAGAAAGAAACTAGTGAAATGCTACATTTGGAACATGACTTTGTATGGGGCTGAAACTTGGACACTTAGGGCAGTAGATCAGAAACACCTGGAAAGCTTCAAAATGTGGTGTTGGAGAAGGATGGAGAAGATCAGTTGGACCGATTATGTGAGAAATGAAGAAGTGTTATTTAGATTAAGTGAGCAGAGGAATATCCTACACGAAATAAGAAAATGGAAGGCTGATTGGATTGGTCATATCTTACGCAGTAACTGCCTTCTAAAAGAAGTTATTGAAGGAAAGATGGAGGGGCGGATAGAAGTGACCAGAAGATGATGAAGAAGACGTAAGAAGATGCTGGATGACCTTGGGGACAGAAGAGGATATAATCATTTGAAGGAGAAAGCTCTGGATCATATTAAGTGGAGGAACTGTTTTGGAAGAGACTGTGGACCTGTCGTCTGACAGATTACTGATGAATGAATGAAATCCCAATTCACAAGTTAGTTAAAAGGTAAAGTTGTCCCTGTGCTTAACTAATTAAGCACTACGCCATTAAGACGTGAGAGTGGCTGTATAGATCCATATTTTCTTGACCTCGGCACTGACTGATATGAGTGGTCAGCTTCACGCTCCGGCCGATTTACCCCCTCGAAAGAACTCCCAGTACCCACTGTATAGGAGGTTCAATGGAACCCATAGCTGGTCTGGACATCATGGAGAAGTGAAAATTCTTAACCCCACCAGGGCATGAACTCCAACCTCTTGGTCATCCAGCCCGTAGCCAATCGCCATACCGACTACGCTATCCTGGTTCCTTCATAAGTTAGTTACATATTCATTTTACTGATTACCCAGGGAAATTCATCTCCCATCCACCCCAAATAAATGGGATAGATAAACATCATTCTTATTTACAAAAGAGAGGAGTATTTATCACATACAAGGAGAATACAAACTTTACCTTTTACCAAAAATTCTTCATAATATAAGGGCATTTAGTGGGGCCAAAATTCTAGAATACAGTAGAAATAAATTTTATCAGCTCCACACTAGAACCTATATCATATTCTTAGTATGAAACAAATAACTAAATATTCACCTGTTGGGCCGACAACCCTTGTTGTATGGCAAAGTAGAATATACAAGAAAGGGTACGTGTTTGGCAGATACAAGCACCAAACGTTCATCTTGAAAATTCTGTCCTCTTGTCGGACGGACGAAACGAACTTCCTTGCTTGGTGGAGGTGAAGATACCTCTGGGATAATTTTACTGCGTCCTATTGTTGGTCCCAAGCTCTCATTACTACTGAAATTGTGGTAGTATTTGTCTTCAATTAGAGATGACTGGTGATGAATCAGTTTACGTTTCTGACCTCCAGACCCAAACTTTCGGTCCAGACTACTGTGATCACTCCCTGCAGTATTTGTTCTCTCACGAAATGAACTGGCTGTACTGCTAAAATTTCTCTGCAGTACCTGTGCATCCTGATCAAGTACCTTCAAAGGTGTTGCAGTTGTTTCGCTAGGATTTGAGTCTGAACTGTTTGACTGATGGTCTGGAGATTTTCCATGCTCTGGAGGTGATCTCTGTTCCTTTCTACTTGTCCTAATGGATTCTGTAGTGATAACTAGATCAGAATCCTTATTTTTCCAATTTTCCGAATCGCGTTCACAGACACATTCCTCATTGCCTCCCTGATTCAGCTTTCTCTCTGCCTCTTTCCCAAAAGCACCATTTCGCATAAAGAACGCTAACCTGGTATCTCTGTAAGTACCATCTAAAGATATGTTGGAGAGAAATGATAAAGCAGCTATTCTACGCCTTGAGCGATTTCGTTTCAGAGACGTTGCCATCTCCGAAGGCAGGAATTTTATTCCTCACAGAGGGCGTCATATGGACTCACATCACTACCAACATGTGCCTGTCTTCCCAACCCTGGTAAAAGTAACTACATAACGCAATGCTTCTTGAGGTTAGTCTTTTAAGCACTAACAGAGCCACTACTACTACTATTACTATCTCAGTTGCGCAATAATAATTACTTTTTTCATCGTCTGGATCACAGATTATCTATTAACCTTACTGACCCCCGTCCATTTGAATCATAAAAGGTGGCGACCATAGATCAGCTAATGTGTAAGGGGTAGATTTTGATCACAGTAGCAAATATACGTCCTTGTTATTTGCAGGAAAATCTCATCCACAAATTTGAGTTCCATCAACCCAACTTCACCTGTATTTTGTATACACTTGAAAGTTTTCATAAAACATATCACTGATGAGATTTTACTAACTGTTCCTATTCTGCCTATTTACAGCTCTTTCCCTTTACGACCGCACTTTCTTAACATTGTCCCCATTCGTCCCCATTGCGAATACTCATTCTTCCTTTAAACCCTTCAAACTGCCATAAACCCGCACCATTCATATTGGAACACTAGAGCCGCTCAACTGCAACGGACATCTCTAGAACTGGATTGTAACAAAACACTCACATTCGAATTTAAAAGGCCAAAGGTGCTTCTGCTTTGGTGTTGTTTCCGTCTATGATTCCAATCAATTGGGGCGTCATTAGTTTCCCATATCAATGCATACTGCAATTCTATTAGACATTTATTTCTTCGATATGAACTTGTGTAATAAAATAAGCTCATAAGTGGTAATATCTGGTTGTCAATGTAACAACTACGAAGAGCAATAACAAGTATTAAATTAAGTAAATGTGCCATGGGAGATCGCAGGTGCCGGCGGGTGAAATATTAAGTGCTAGCCGATATGTAGTGTATGAGTGATAGAACATTTCTTTGTAACAATTGCCTCAAAATATTAATAACAAATTAAGTTATAAATGATAAACGTGTGGCTTGCACTGCTTATCATCGTAACCCACATTCTTGCAGTCTTATGTCCAGTGAGTGCTGTTGATAAAGGTCCCGAAGTGTCAAGCTGACCACACATCCCTATCTAGCGCGAAGGCCCATGCTATGTAGTGCCAAGGCACAAGGAAATTTTTACCACAGCTACATTTTAGTATGACATTAAATATGTATTGTGTATAATATGTTTTGTTCTTGTTTAGCTTTGTAACCTGTGCTTGGCCTTGCAAAATCAAGTTGGCATATCATTATGGAAGAACAAGAAGGAGGGATGGCAGTTGATTCGGATGAACCAATGTCAAATGATGAAAGTGATATTATTATCAATGAAGTAGATGGTTTACCAAATGTTCATCCAAACTACATTGAATTAGAACTTCAGCGTGGTGCTTCTAGGCAGAATTCTGAAGGCGCACGCACCATGGATGAACTGATTCATGATGAAGATCTTCCAACTTCACTGATAGTTACAAACCTAGATAGCTCTATCTTCAAAAATGAGGAGAAAAAAGTAATGTGTCCAATTGTTACTGTATTTAAATTGCCAAATATGGTTTTGGTTTCCCACACCCCCACATTTCAGAACAATGTTTGGTCCTACAGTGCTTTTCATTAGGCTTGCACTCATTGGGTTTGCAAGTGGCAGGGTAGTTTGGATTAGTGGAACCCAAACCACATTTGGTGCTGTTAAGATTTATGTACTCTGGAAGCTTAACTTGTGTCATGCACTTTGACTTTTGGTTAACTTTATGGCCTTATGTGTAGGAGTTAGCTGCCTTCAATCTTTGAACATTTTATCAGAATATAGAATCTTTTACTTCTATTTAACATTCAGATGCTTAATATCATATGAAAGGGGGACTGTTACACGTCACAGTCACACATGAATATTGTAAGGGAATAAAAACTAGTTTTTCTTATCTCTCCTGCTAACTTATCAAGTTAAAATTATTGTACTCTAGCACCATGTTGTGTTGTATTTCCAGTTGTATTTATTCTTATCAGCAATTTACCCTCCATTCTAGGGTATTTTTGCAATGTCACTATCACTACAGCTAAATTAATGATTGTGCAGAATGGAAAGGCCATGCATCAGTACAACCACCAAATTATCTCACTTTATTTCCCAATGTTCATTAATACCACGGTTTATATTCCTAGATCTGTAAGTTCCCTTATATATTTCAGAAAGAGCTGGAATTACTGTTCAGTCAGTTTGGTGAACCAGCTTCATTCCAGTTTTTCCGAAGCTTTAGGCGTATGAGAGTGAATTATAACTGTCCAGCTGCTGCTGCTAAGGCCAGAATACACATGCACCAAACACGATTTGGAGAGACTTTAATCAACTGTTACTTCGCACAGGTAAGGTAAATCTGCATGCAGGCATCACAGTTTTTAAAGTACAGAATCTCTTCCCTCCCTAAAAAAATAAAGATGCACCAGTTTTAATTAAATGATACATCACTTTTGGTGCCACTGAACACAGCAGTACCTAAAGAGTGAAAGCTGAATTAAAACATGTACTGTATGAAAACAGAGAACTGTCATATTTGTAAATTCTGCATTATGTTTGCTGAAGTATGTTTATTGATGCTGATTATGGCTACTGAAATGGCATGTTTCATTTCTTGAGTTGCCAACGGTTTCCCTCTTTCTGAACCTGTCATTTCTAATTTAGTATCACATAAAATGGTGTGGTTGGGACAGTGTCTTAATTTAAAATAAAATTTATTTGAAGTGTTCTGGGTTATAAAATATTTCAGTTAATGAAAGCTTTTCATATTCTGTCCTAACGACAGAACTGGGTATTTTCTCACTGAATGAAAGAAAAAAAACAAACAAATAGTACATNACATACTTCCAGTCCTACAAACCTTGTGTTGTTATTACTTATGCAAGTTAACTTATAAATTTATAGAATTTATGTGAATGTCAGTGTTCTGGATTTATGCTCAGATGGTCATGTGATCAAATCCTAGTCAAACCAGACTTCAGTATTGTCTAAAATTGTAAATGTGTTACATAGTATAATTACTGTTGTAGGTGATAATTGTAATTCTCTTTTTGGAAAAAACTTATTTAAGTACAGATTTTGCCTGCTAAATGTGTGTAGACATGTGGTTGTGCTGATAGTATTATTTGGCAATGACTCTTGAATATTGAAGGTTAAGGACTGGACAAGAACACATGCAACTGAGATGAATTCATAAGATCTGTGAAGAGTTGCAGTAAAGTACTAGATAGAATATGAAACTAAGTCCTAACAACAGAACTGGGTATTTTCTCACTGAATGAAAGAAAAAAAAAAACAAATAGTACAGAGGCATGGAAACAAGGTCTCTAGAGGAAGGATGGAACCTACATTCTTAAACAACTTTATGTGTTACAAATCACATATGGCAGAAGAGATGTGAGAAGACAAAGGAATAGATGGAAAGAATCATAAATGATCCTGGAACAGACTGATACTAATCTTACTCTTTAGCATCCTGTTTCACTGGTATTGTTGGCTTTTGTAGATATGTGTGACCAGCATCTTAAATGCAACACTTATTTTTGTGTTTTATATGTCTTATTATAACATGTTTTGGCCCCACTCGGCCATCATCAGGTGTATGCATTCTTGGTGAAATTGTTGCACTGTCATCTTAGTATGTCACTTGTGAATGTGTTGTTATTTTTAATTTTAAAATCTTTAAAAGGAGTGCTGCATTTATGATGGTGGTTACACATATGTATAAAAGCCAATGATACAAAATACTTAAAATGAAGAACAAGGAGGAGAACTTCAAAGATCCGCATTGTAACCATGTCTGCAATTCTTGACTTATAAGCAGTAGTTTTCAAAGTGGTGATAACTCATCTGTATGCATAATCTGTACTCCCAAGGCCTGTATTTCAGAAGATGTACTTTCTTTGTTCAAGCCTGTTTCACCAATCGATTTTGAAGATCAGCACTTGCAACCACCTGCCCCTGTCAAGCAGTTCTTGATTTCTCCACCAGCATCACCACCGGTTGGATGGGAGCCAAGAGATGAAGGAGAACCATTAGTGAATTATGATCTCTTAGCTGCTATAGCAAACCTTACCCCAGGTGTGTGGTAAATTAGAGGAGTACTAGGAGACTTGGTTTTATATACATTCATATCTTATATGTTGATATCTTTTAGAAGAAATAAGGATACAGATTATGTAACTGAAGCTCTTGTAGCAATTTTGTAATGGTATACATCAGCTTCTGGTCTGTGCTGATGTAAAGAGTTAATCACATGTGTACAGAAACTGAAGCTCTAAAAATGCTTGTAGACTAAGTAGTTTCATTCCCAGTTCAACGGATTTTTTTATCTAGATTTTTACTGTTAATGTACATAAACTTGTTGAAATAATTTGTTGTTTTTTGCCTTTAAGCACTTGTCCGTATGTACACTCTAAAAATAAACATCAGCCATTCTCAACGAACACTCTTTTTATTTCATCGCAACAATACAGAAAATCTAAAACTGTTGAAGCATACTGTACTGACTTATGCTACTGCAACTTAAAGATAATGTCACATTTAGGAAACAAGGCAATAGCAAACAAGACAAAGTAGTGGGTAGAACTCATAACGCTCATTTTCCTGTTGTATACCATGTCATACAGATCTTTTGCTATAAGATCTGAAGTTGTCACAGCGGTGGTTATGAAGAGTTCTTTCTTCTGGGATATAGCGCTATGTACGATCTGAGGTTCTCACAGTGGTGGTTATGAAGAGTTCTGTCATCTGGGATATAAAGCTGTGTAGGAGCTAAGGTTCTCACAGCAGGGGTTATGAAGAGTTCTGTCTTCTGGGATATAGCGCCATGTAGGGTCTGAGGTTCTCACAGCGGTGGTTATGAAGAGTTCTGTCATCTGGGATATAACGCTGTGTAGGAGCTGAGGTTCTCACGGTGGGGGTTATGAAGAATTCTGTCATCTGGGATATAGCACTATGTAGGAGCTGAGGTTCTCACAGCAGGGATTATGAAGAGTTCTGTCTTGTGGGATATAGCACTGTGTATGATCTGAGGTTCTCACAGCAGGGGTTATGAAGAGTTCTATCATCTGGGATATAATGCCATGTAGGATCTGAGGTTCTCACAGTGGTGGTTATGAAGAGTTCTGTCATCTGGGATATAACGCTGTGTACGATCTGAGGTTCTCACAGTGGGGGTTATGAAGAATTCTGTCATCTGGGATATAGCGCTGTGTAGGAGCTGAGGTTCTCACAGTGGGGGTTATGAAGAATTCTGTCATCTGGGATATAGCGCTGTGTAGGAGCTGAGGTTCTCACAGTGGGGGTTATGAAGAATTCTGTCATCTGGGATATAGTGCTATGTAGGATCTGAGGTTGTCACAGCAGGGGTTATGAAGAGTTCTGTCATCTGGGATATAATGCTATGTAGGATCTGAGGTTCTCACAGTGGTGGTTATGAAGAGTTCTGTCATCTGGGATATAACGCCATGTAGTCTGTTGAAAGTCACTGGATGTTTTGGAGGAATATATCACGTCCATCTTTAGGGTTTATGAATAAGCCGAGCAGGAAACCAGTGTGAAAGCAGGTTGACTTTCACTGGGCTACACGACGTTATATCCCAGAAGATAGAACTCTTCAGATCTTTTGTTATTAAATGTTTATAATCCAGCATCAGAATTCAGTTTAGCTTGTGAATGGACTTGTGTGCAAGGGGTCATAAGATTGAATCATAGTCAAGTTACAGAAGTGTTTGCAAATGCAACTACCTGGACATCCAAACTTGCCAGATAATTTCTTTTCATAAATGAATTGATGTACAGTTTCTTACTTTTAGGAGAGACACATGAATTGCACCCACCATCAGGCAGCCAACCAGGTATTGTAGTTCATGTTTGTGAAGAATCTGCTGGAACATCCCAGGGTGGAACATCACAACCCAAAGCTCGAATAATGCAGACAAGGTGCCCAGATCATCACAACTGAATGTTACCTAGATACTGCCTAATTTACGAGTTTGCCTCAGTGTGAATCTTCTAGTTGACATAGGAATACCAGTCATTGATACTAATATGCTGCCTTTATCCAATAGTGAAATGTTTTAATGCCTGTGAAAGTGAAAAGAAAGATTAGTAAATTTCAAACATAAAGAGAATTCGGAATTATAGGTTCCACCTGTAGTTGTTGAGGTTAGTGTTAGTGGAAAATTTTGATTCTGATCTCTTCATCACAGCATTATGTTATATTGTTTCATGTTTTTTTCTGTCTACTCCTGATTTAATACAGTTAAATTGTTCTCAAGCATCAGTGCAAGCCATTTTTTCCTCATAAAGCACAGTACATGACTCCTGGTTTTATAAATAAAATATTTCAGTATTGTAATTGATATTGGCAGTGTTCATTAGTGAAAGAATATTCAGATATATAGTCTAACTATTTGGCATTCCTATTCATATGTTGCAGACTGTCACTTTGGAATCACTACTGGTATTATAGCATGCCCTGAGAGATCAGTACTGAAAAATGTGTTTGTATCAAACCCCATGTGACATGTCAATTTCACTTCAGTTGCGTAAAGTGCTTCTCTTTCTCTATTCCTTTAGATTATTTAGAATCACTCATTTCTAGAGGTTGTGTATGTAAAATTGCAATTTTTCTCTTATTTTTCTCGAGCTTTGTAGCATTACACAGTACAGTATATTAGAACGACTGAATGAAGTTAAGTGTCTTTTAGTATTGCATTGGCTCAATATCAGCTACCAAGAATTCATCCCTGGAACTTGTTACTGATGTAGTTGGAACATATAACAAGGTTCATTGTATTAGAACATGTAATTTGTCCTCCTTGAGCTGCAGTTGAGAGATTTTACAGAAAAAATATAATAATATTATTTCATATTTGAAGTTATTACTACAGTTTAAAGAAGGTGGGTTGAGCATCAGTAACATACACTGGATTACCTGCTTTGCCTACATATTGCAGCACCGTTCTTGTTATTGTGTTGTGTTTGCATTGCTGACTGGACAAGTAGTCTTCAGTTTGTTTGTAGATACAAAAAAAAGTTTGTGTTTGAGTTCATGAGTAACTGCAGTTTCCACCTCAGTTCTTTGTTTTAGAGCTAGTACTGTTAATATAACCTCACCTGCATGAATTATAGTATAATGTAGAGTGAGCCCAGTTTCCTTTATTAAGAACTGAGTTTTATCTTAATTATATAGTACAATTTTTAAAACTAGGTTTTTTTATTAATAGTCAAGGGATTTGTTCAGCATTGTGCTATAATAGCAATTACTGGAATGTCACACAGCTGCTGCCTATATTGTAATCGAATACAGAATGGTAGTTTGTTAGATAGCCATTTAAGAAAAGCCAAGATAGTGTCTTTTGGAAGAGCCTAATGCATTCATTCTGATGTTTTTCAGTGCTAAACATTATCATGATAACAGTTTACTGTGACAGTATATTACAGTGTGTAGGGTACTTCTGCTAATTCTCTACATGTGAATTTTATTATCTATTTGGATAAACATTTTATGTGTTCCATTTATTCTTGGAAGGACATGGAGCAATGCAAGTACATTTTGTTGAACACAGAATATGTTATCCTGTTTCAGTATGTACTTAAACTTGATTGAATAGTCAAAATAATGAGTGATACGATATGTACAGTGTACTGTTGAAATATTTAATCATTATGCAACATTGACATAATGTAATATTGTTACGCTTTGTGTAAATACTTTCTAACCTACTGTTTATAGCTATAAGTAAATGGGTCCATTACAAATGGCATGTTATTACAAGTTCAAATTCTCTGCTGTTCACTACATCAGATATTGCTTTTTGTAAGAATTTTCTGTGGGCTGCATAAATAGCGTCTGTTTCTTGCAAACACGATTGAATTAGTGGATGCATCAATTTGGTAGCCCTGCCCTTTCTGATGTAATTCTTTTTTAAACTTTGGTATTTTCTAGTTAGGTATATTCACCCTGTTTTTCTTAATAGGCCTATATAATACAGTCATGTTTTAAGTCTCTGTACTTTTGTTACTGCACATAGAACTGTTTCCTTTGCTTGACCTATGTTCTAATTGAATAACAGGTGTCACTGGAGGGCTACTTGACGAAAATTAGTCAGGTATGTGTTGATGTAGATAAAAAGAAAATGCATACACTAACTTATTGTAGTCCTAATGTTATGTCAGTTTTGTTCTCTTCTTCTTGTGGGTTTATTTGTTATGAAGAACTGCAAATAAAATATATTTGAAACAGCTCTGAAGTGACTGAGGTAATCTAGAAAATCTTGCGAACCTAGAAGTACTCTGTGTAAAGTTTATGTTTTTAAGACAGTAATTATTCATCAAGGTTTTTTTTTCTTGTAATATACATAACTGTATGAGTATTCATGAAATACAGCAAACTTCATCTGTTACGGCTGGTTAATTTTTGTGAAGTTTTTTAAATGTGATGTCATTTAGTTCTTTAATATAACTTTCATTTCAACTGTTATTGTTGCATTCTTTTCTTATTTGTATTCCAGAGATGGAATAATACTTTCAGCTGCAATATTCCCCAAGATCTGAGGCCCAGCAAAATATATTGTATGAATGGTATGGATACTGTATTGATTATGCAGAGTATAATGATAAAAGATGACATTCAAATATGATTGATGTATATTGTTACAGGACTGGCCGCTATTTAGTAAATGAAAAACTAAGGGAAAGACTGCCCTACCCAAAAGCAAAGTAACCTTCCAGAATGTAAAAATAAAATATAAAGAAACTGAGTGTATATAGAAGTTAAGCAAGAGTATCAGGTTTCAGTAGGATTCCTCTTCGGAAGAACTGGGAAGAAGTAAAGTAAAAGAAAGTAAAGGTATCCTCTTAACAGGCTGTGGAGGCCCATATGATTGTGAGATATTGAGGCTCCCACATTTTGTAGACAATTGGCTCACAGATGGTGGTAAGGTCATCTGCCTTATGTGCCTGCTGCCCTTTACCCCCAGGAATATTCCTGGAACTCATTTCTGTTAGAGCCTGAGTCGACCCCAGGGCCATAGTGTGGCTGTAAGGATTAGGTCAATTGAAAAAAGTCCACCTCATCGGGATCCTATCCCGCGACCTTCCAGCTGTAGCATAGTGCTTCAACCAACTACACTACCACATGCCCCTGGGAAGAAAGTATGGAAATTAATAAAATCAACATCAGTGATTCATTCATTCATAGAGTAAATAGATCACAGATTGACAAAGAATGTTCTAGATTAATTTAACAAAGAAAGCATGCTAGAATGCAATGGCTATAGGTTTATAACCAAATAAATTGAAGTATGTCTAAAATACAAAACTAGCTGAACCTTCAGGAACAAAAATACTAAAGAGAAAAAATGGAATTTTTTGGCATTGAATATGAGAATTACTGTCATCTGGGATGTGACACCATGCAGACTAATAGATAGGTACCAGGTTCTTGTTGGTGCCTACCAGACTACACAGCATCAAATCCCAGAAGACAGTAATCTTCAAAGTCAGTGAAATTTTGTGATGGTAGGTGCAGGCCAACATTAAAAATTTTGTATGACATTGTTTATGATATATAGTGGTAGTGCAAAACTTTGAAGTCATATCTGGAAAATGTATGTAGCTGGAATCTGTACTAGTGGAAGTTATGTATATAAAACACAATGTGTACAGAAACAGAATACCAAGAACAATAATTATGAATTTATTCAAGCTAGCTTTGCCACAGAGATTGAAACATTTGAAGGAAAATAGGCTTCATAAATTCTTTCATGATCTACCTGTTCAACTACAATTAGGCTTTTGAAAGAGTTATCTGAATGGAGGAAAATTTACTTCCTGTGAAGAAGTGAAATAGAGTAACAATAGAATAACAAGAAACTGGTCCCAGTAAAGGATCAAAGACTGTCTTACCTTCAAAACTAACATTTAAGATTTTATCAGTCTTTTTAACACCAATGTACTGCATTGTTTTATCTTCAAATAAACATAATATTCCTTTGTAATGTATATGGTTACTCTTCTCATGATTTTTTCCATAACTCTGGCAACATAAGCATCAAACAGAAAATGAAAATAAACATAAACTGATGAAAAGAACATTTTCATTTTTATAATATTGGCTTAAATACAGGCTATGATAGGGTTTGTTCATATGACCATTTGTTAAATTCAAAGAGGTTTCCTAGAACACTTGTTAAACTAAGATGTGGATATTTTAATATTAAATTTCCATTTCCTTACTAAACATAAATTTGCAAGAACTACAAACAGATGAATTAATATGTAATGCATATACTAGTTTTTATCAGAACTCTTATGCCAGACAAGACTATTATGTCCATTTATATCTGACTGAGCCTTTCATTGGTTGCAGACTCCTTAATGTGTCATTTGACATTTACATATGAAATATTTTGATACTCATTAACCTTTATCATCTAGAAATGGAGTTATAGCTTCTGCTACTACTACAGCGACAGCTGAGTTGTAACTTGGGAGTAATAGGATTTATATTGTAAAGAGTTTACCTAGGTCAGCTGGGGCTTGATGGACCCATGCATATGTCAACACAGTAGTAAGACTCTTCGACAATAAAGGATAAGCGAAGGCAGTCATTTATCAAGTACATCTTTAATAGTTTGCTGATATTAACACACTAGAATGCATCTGCATTAAGACAGTGAATTTAAATAGCATGCTAAAATGTTAATTGGCTAAATTCCTTTAGTAGACATGATATATGAAATAAAAGTCTTACTTCAAGTACTTAATATGGCAATGATATGTGATATATAATAGTAACAGTTCAGTCACTGTTAACATATCTGAGTGTGGTATCACACCTTTACTATAACTAATCTAGTGTTCCCCATGTGCTGTTATACACATTTTAGATTCATGTCATGTTATGCTAAGATTCATTATTCTGTCCGCAGAGCAAAGAACTTCATGGTGTCAAACTGGTATAATTTAAAGATTCCCTTTATGTTGGTTTTGGATGCTGCAGGGTACACACATGCAGATTCACACAGGACAACATGACTGGTGTTTTGTCAATACTGCATTCATGTACAAATATAAGTGTATGGATTTAATTATTTTAGATTGCTTTTTTTGTTTTCAGTTAATGATGACAGCCTACCATAGAATCAGGTTATATTCTTTTTTCTGTTGTACTATAAAAGATACACACATGCATGCACTCTCTCTAAAAACAAATGGGTCATTTCTTTAAACCCTGGTTACAGATGATCCTCATTATTGTGGGACTCATATGTCAATCAGTTTCAAGCCTCCTATCATGGCATGAAACATGAGAATGGGGACAGCAGAAATGCATTTCCTTTGAGCAACTGCAGCACATTTCCCCTCAAATGCTGAGAAGCAGGCATCAACAAACAACAGTGCCACTCAATCAAGACACTCAGATCAGGGTGACTTACCCTTGAAATATGACATGACTGCCTGTTGCATATTATTACCTGCTCACTTTCATTATCATCTCATTCAATGCTGTATTACCTCTGCAGGTAAAACAGAGTCATATAATGAAGAGATGTATCTGCTGGGATATAACTCTGTGTAGTGTGCTAAAAGTCAACCAGTGTTTTGGAGGAACATGTCACCTCCATCTTCAGTGTCAAAAAAGGAAGCCAAGCAAGACATGAGCATGAAGCACTTAGCAAGTGGTTTGAAGCCACTCAGGCTGTTATCACCAATCGAAAATAAGAAAAACAGTAGGAATTAAACTACTTTTTGGGGCAATAGTTCATTGGATCCTACTAGGTCAGAAAAGCCAGCCTAGTGTGCTGGGGAACTGTGACCCCTGCTTGCTACCTGCTTCATGCTGGTGTCTCCCTTGCCTTCTTCAACCCTGCAGTTGGAGGTAACATGTCCCTCCAGAACGCTGGTTAACTTTCAATGGGTAACATGGAATTATTTCCCAGAAGACTTCATGACCATTGCTATGAGAATCTCAGATCCTATGTAGTGTCATAAAATAACCTAAGAATCAATCAGATATTATTTAAATGAAAACTGGAATGCTGCATAGTGGCTTCTTAAATATTTTTTATTAGGAAATCAACTCACAGAAGTGTCAGATGTAAACTGAGTATCAAAGAATTTCACACACTACATGAAATCACCTGATGTGAAGTCTAACACAAGAATTAAATTATATTAATGTTCATTATCAATTAAACAATTTAATGGGCATGAGGACTGCTTTAGAAGCTTATAGTCAATTGGCTGGTTGTGAAATTTTAAAGGTACAAAACATAACAGACATTATTTTAAGTGAAGAGAGCATGTTTAGCAAAATTAGTGGGTTCAGACTTGATGACCAGGATTAAACTCTGGCAGATGCAGGAGTCTTCTCTTTACAGCCATATCTGGACCAGCTCCTGGGTCCACCCAGCCTCCCATATAATGGACAGAAGGCTGATATCTTAACAGGACTCCATACAGAAGTTACAAGGTACTGAAAGAGAT